TCTTTTTATCTTAGATGTAGGCAGCCGTGAACAATCTATTTTGAGCCACTTTAGAGAGAAAACTTTGTATTTTTAAAACTTGCACAAAAAGTATGCAAGTGTTTTTATAATTGGAGTACTGCCTCAGTTTTGAGGTTCTGCACACTAAATTAAAGGTGATGTTACAAATTTGTACAAAATGAACTCTTTATAAGGTGGCTCATTGTAGGAAATGCTGTGCCTTCCCCTTTGAGCACAAGTGTTGCATGAACAACAGTTTGCTATAATAAAATGTACCAGATTAGCCACCATTAGCATCTATATCTACCTTGTGTTTTAAAATCAACTGGTAATTCTGAAACACTGTAGAATGGATAAAGATTATTTTGTGATCATAACTCTTTGTTGGACTAGAGTATTTTTGCAGCATTCCTTGTCATCAGAAACATGGTTAAAGTTTAAAACTAGAAGCAGCGGAAACTAGCTTGTGAAATTTATCTGAGTAGAGTGCAGGCTAGGCCGTCTTGGGGAAATAAACGTTAAAACTTGCAACCCAGTTGTATTTGGTGTGTCTTTGTATGTACACTCCAGTTCTCATCAAAAGGTTTGAAAGATCATTTGAACACAGATACTCTTCTGAATCTTGTCTTGAGTTTTTGTGGGGTTTTTTACCTGCTGAATGTCTGTGTTTTGCAGTATGTTACATAGGCTTGAGGTAAATAACTGGCTTGGTATAAATATTAAGAAATAACTAATTCACCTAATTACAGTACATTAGGGCCGCTTTCATGTAGATTGTAGGGAATGCTTAGAGCATGTAAAATGGTAGTTTTAAGGGAGTTGCAATTACCATCATAAGGCTGAAGTATCTTTTTGGAAGATGTACTGTAGAAAACAGCTTCACTGTTAGAATCCTTTCCTATTAGGGGTAAGATGAAAGCAGATGTTTGTTGCAACTTCTGTATTTCAAAAACAAACCCAAAACACTATGGCAAGGTGTTTTGGCACTTCCCCTGATAATTAGAATCATAGAATAGTTAGGGTTGGAAGTGACCTTAAGATCATCTAGTTCTCAACCCCTCTGCCATGGGCAGGGACACCTCACACTAAACCATGTCACCCAAGGCTCTGTCCAACCTGGCCTTGAACAATGCCAGGGATGGAGCATTCACAGCTTCCCTTGGCAACCCATTCCAGTGCCTCACCACCCTAACAGTAAAAAACTTCCTCCTTATATCCAATCTAGGCTTCCCCTGTTTTAAGTTTTAACCCATTATCCCTTGTCCTATCACTACAGTCCCTAACGAAGAGGTCCTCCCCAGCATCCTTATAAGGCCCCTTCAGATACTTTTAAGGCTGCTATGAGGCCTGTCTTCATACGGGAAGTTCTCCAGTCTGCTGATCATCCTTGTGGCCCTCCTCTGGACTTGTTCCAACAGTTCCATGTCCTTTTTATGTTGAGGACTCCAGAACTGCACACAATACTCCAATTGGTCTCATGAGAGCAGAGTAGAGGAGCAGGATCACCTCCTTTGACCGGGATATGGTTGGCTTTCTGGGCTGTGTGCACACACTGAAGCCAGCTCATGTTAAGTTTTTCATCGGCGAAGTTACTTTAAGCTAGCACTGTTCTAGCTGCAGCCTGTATGTTCTTACATGGTTGGTGGTGGGTTTTTTGGTGTGGAAAATTCTCTTCACCACCTTCACAGCAGACCCAGTTGTTAGTTTGGAAAGCTTAAACATTTTGGCATACACAGGGTGGTAGTATTCTGAATTCTTCAGGAGCAAAACTGAAGCTAGTTTCTCCAATGGCTTTTTTCCCCAAAGTTGCATTTTGGGGTAATGTAGTTACAGTGCTGGGAACAGGGGGCTTGCTTGAGATACAAACAAATAACTTAAAAGACTTACTTCAGAAATACTGATCAGATTATTAACTTCAAGAAAGCAGAGTTACTTAGAAGTACAACATGGCGCTGCTGTAGTAAAGTCACCAATTTTTCTGCCTACATATGAAGGTGATTAAATTTTAGCCTCTGAGTTTACTGAGCGGTGGAATTAGGTCATCATTGGAAGCAACTCTGATGTTTCCCTTTTAACATGACAGCTGTGACATTCATTGTATTCAGTTTGGTAGCAGAACACTGCTCTTTAATAGATTGTCAAATCTTTCAGTATGCTGAAGTAGAAAATAAGCTTTTCAGTTGAACTTAGGATAGCGGATACCTAGAAAAGTATCTTTCATTCTGGGACAAAAATTAATCCATAATACAAGGTATTCCAGGTGGGTTTTTATTCCAAAAAGCAGCATTGTTGGACCAAGTAGCTGCCCTGGAACTTCCCCAGACCTGAATATGAGAAACTGATGACTTCTGTATAACCAGGGCTCTGCTCTTACATAAATTCAAAAGCTGAAGGAAAGAGGGTGACCAACTTTCTGCTTGAAAGTGAAGAAATGCATGTATTTCTTAAAACTAACACACATTGTTGCATAAGTTGCCAAATTGCTGCTAAGTAAGAATGTCTTTGTATCAATACTTGTAGACTCTTTGCCACTTTTAACTGCAAATATTTCCTCAACTTTGCATGTCACCAAATTACTGGCAGAAATGCTGGTCACAAGGCTGGAAACAATTACGGAAGTCCTGCATCTGGATCAAATAGACTTTATGAAAGGAAACTTAGTAGCAGAAAATGTGTAAAGTTTACAAACTCGTCCTAATAGTAAGTTTCAGCTACTGCCACAGTATAACTCATAAGACACACAAAATTAATTGAAAAAGTAAATACTACTTCAATACCTACATAAGAATGTCTGGAAACCTGATTTCTGTAAAGGAATCCCCATTCTTGCTTGGAAATACCTTGAAATGGAGATCCTGTGTTTACTCTGCTGCTTTGGTGTGCTCCAGGGCTGAGGAAAATGTTTCTGCAAGCTGTCATTAAAGCTGTCATCTGTAAATACCTTTGGTATACTTTTAAATCTCTATAAAACAACAGTGAAAGCTACTTTTACTATAAAACAAGAAATGTGGGAAACTTTATGCCAGCTATTGGTAAAAGCATAAAAGTTTTGTAATTTGATGGAAAGGCAGATGGGCAGCGGTCAGACTTCATATTCTGCAGCACCAGGTTACAATGTGAAGCAAGTATGTTCTTCCTAAAATGGCAGCTTTTCAGATTAAATGTTGCTGCTTAATTCATTTAAACACATAAATGGTATAAACCAACATAGGTTCTTACTCTGAACATCAGTTATCTATTTGTCAAAAGCTCCCTTGTCTCTAGCTTTTTCCTTACCACTTTTACTGTGTGTTAAGGGGGTTAGTAGAAGGGAAAGGATTAAAACTCATTTTTTTCATTCTGTCGTATGTAGTGCATGTAGCCCAGAAACAAAAGTATCCCAGATTGAGTGCCTGTGGCATTTGGGCCCTTTCAGGCACTGTGGTTTACTAGGTGGTCTTCTCTGTTGCTGCATTGTCTTTAGTATATTTCCTGGAGTAAAATTATCAATACATTCCCATCCACCGCCACAAAAATTAAGTGCTAGTGAGCCAGAGAAGCATCTTTCAAGAAACAGGAAACAGATTTAGACCCTTGTGAGCTTGGGGTGGGGATGTAAGGGAGTAGCCCAGTATAAGACAGCTACATACTGGTAGTCTGAAAAATATGGTTATCTCAAATACATTAGAATGATGAGAGGAACCAATAACCACAGTAATTGCTTCAGGATTAAAATTGAGGCAAAAAAATCGGAGTGCTTTGTCAGCTTCAGAGTTTTTTGTTAGGTCGCTGTCCATGCAACCACTGATGTTCTGTACATGGGTACTATGGGTAAATCTCTTGCTTCAGTAATACTGCAATACAGTAAAATCTTGTTCTATCCTACTGTTACTCCCCTTCTTACAACCTTTAAATGTTTGGTTGCTTTTTTGTTTGGTTGGGTTTGGGGTTTTTTACCCTTAATTCTATGCCAAATTTACCTCTTTCTCATTTCAGCTGTTTGGAATCTGTCACAGATTTGAACTTACTCCACACAGTTCGTACTCCTTTTTCTACTACCTATGACAAAGTATTTTTAATGAACCACAAGTGTGCAACCAGCCAGCAATTACTTTGGTGGTGGAACTGAGGCACTAGTTTTCAGATGATCGTAATGTGGTCCTGAAGATGCCTTTCCTCACCTAAAACATTGTCTTTTTACTAACTTGTTCTAATAATATGTTCAGTTACAAACTTGAGCTGTTCATGCATTTATCTTGGCTCTATGGCATTTTCATTTTTTAGCTGCTGTGAGCTTCTCTGTGTTTTCCCACATGATAGCTTTCTAGGCTTTCTAGAATTGTATGAATATAGACATGCAAATTGTCTTAATAGGGTGAACCTCTGAAGTGTGTTGCAGGTTACCTGATTTGTAGTGAGACACCAATAATAGCTATGTTGCGATATCTTTTATGTTAGTAGACTTGTGGGATACCTGTTTTGCACTAGCTACACATCTTCAATACATACTGCTTGTTAGGATTTTTATATTTTGCTTAAGTTGCAGAAACATTTTTTATCAGGTTATTCCTGCACAGACCTTACAAATGCAGTTAGAAAGGGGATGTCTATTAAGCTGATGTTTTAAGACGCACTCTGGCATGAGGACATTGTAATTTTTCAGCTCTGCAGGTTGAATGCTGGCCCATTTCTTGTTATTGCAATTTCTGCCAGATACAGAATTATATTAGAAGGTACTTATTCCCAAAATTTTGTTTGCAAAGATTTGCTACTGTGATGCTGTTAACATAATGCTACAATGGAACATCCACGTGGTTGCAGCCTCTTCTACAGATTGGGCAGAACAAACTTCTGGACGCGAAGATCTGTATATCTGTCTTAGTGTATTACCTTGTTCAAATAGAAATGTCATCTCAAACATTTTATTTACTGTAATAGAAAGCAGGTTACTGATCTGTCAGTGCATGCACACATTCTGTCCAATTCTGACATTTTATAAAATGTGCTCTCATCATCTTGACATACCCACAGCAGGTGGTTTAGTAATGACCCATCTGGTATAATGATCCAGCATGTAGCACAATCCTTCAGCCAATGGATCCAGTCTCTGAAACATAAGTTATTTTCTGGGTTAGTTTCTAATGAGCCCCTGTGGCTGCTTGAGCACAAGTGAGATGGATGAGGCCATCTGATAGGTGCAGATTGGCTCAAGTTGTGAACGTGCTGGCTGGGTTAGAAGTGGAGGCAGGGGGGAAAGTAAGCAATTCACAGATCAACCAATCTGCAGAAACGAGGCTCTGTTGGACTCTGGTCTTGCCATCAGCAGGCAGGATGAGCAGGACAGGCAGAGATCTGTCCACCTGTAATTAATGGTAACATGATTTAAAGAATGGTTTTGACAGAGCAAGCAACTTTTAAACCCTAAGTTTTAAAGGCTAAGTTTTAAACTAAGGCAGCCTTCTGGCTTGAAAGGATGAAGCTGTAATATGGTCATGAAAAGTAAAGGAGGAATTTCTCTACCCCAAACTGTAAAATTAACAATGTAAGATGTCATTATTTACGTAGCAAAATAGGAAAATAATAACTAGTGTGTGAATAAACCAAATGAATGCTGTTAGCGAAACTTCTACTGTGGGACGTAGGGAATAGTCAAATGGAATATTTAATGAAGCAGCACAGCAGGAGAAAGAAATACGCTATGTATGGACTATGCATTTGCAAAACAAGTATGTAAAACACTCTCTCAATCCTACTGTAACGTTACCAACATGCAGAATTGCCTCAGCATGGAAATAAAGTCAGAGGAAGAAGTCCTTGCTGTTTCAATCTCTATTAATTATTTTAGGTTTAAAAAAAATCTAAGACAAAGCTCAACTGAAACTAGTTATTTAATAAACTATATTACTTTGGAATCAATTTTAGAATTAAATTATCTCTAATTCTGGAGCTAAGCTCTAGAATTCCCCCCCCTTTGCTACTGCATCTCTTTCAGAAAGGACATTACCTTCTGAAGAACACCTTTAGGACATCCAAATCCTGTTCTAAAGTCAGGAAAAACCTAATGTTTCTCGAAACCATGGCTTTTGATTTAAGGAAAGAATTGATTTTCAACATCTTGAAACCCTTTTATGGCAAAATAAGAATTTTACTGACACTTTCTAATCTATATATTTTTTACTGGATAAATCCCTTGCTGTGTGGTGTCTGGATAGTTGTATGGTTTCAAAACACATTTTGAGTAAGCTGGACCTAGATGACAGCATCTGTACTACCACAAGTGGAAATACAGTAATAGAAAGCACTATTTCAACTTGTTAAGTTGAAGCTGAAGTAGCTTGTTAAGTTGAAATACTTCAACTTGATAATAGCATAAAAAAGTTTCAGTTAAAGTTGTTAAACATGCAGAACTGAAGTGGTGTAACTGACATCAGAATATATGAAGGTAAGACTACTATTATAATGGCTTTGCACAGAAAAGACCAGTTACAGCTGAATATAGTATTGAGAAGTTTCTGCCTATCAGCTGAACTGTGATGGTTAGCAGTTGAGCGTTTTTTTATTATCTGGAACATAATTCCAAATATTCCCCAGATATCTCTGTAAGGTCCTCTAAATATCAGTTGCAGGACAGATGTTTAGGTAACTTCTAAATGGTATTTATTATGATGCACATCACAACATTAATTTCTCTTTTGAAGTAACGATGAATGTAACACCTGATAATAACTTTACAGTTTTAATTTACTTTGGTGAACCATAAATAAATATAGAATAATCTCGAATAGGAGGAAAGTACACCACACTGGGAACTTTACCTGATAAAATCCTGAAATTTACCAGTGTCACAGTAATCACAGCACTCATCCACTTGCTTCCTACTGCACTGTTGTTTGTATTTTCACGTAAAATAACTTTTCAACAGATGAAGTAGGTGAATATGCTTAAATTGAAACTGAACATTACCACTTACATGCGTTAACTTTTATTTAGTAGTTGGCAGAAAGCCTGTTCCTGCTCCTCCTGAAGCAGCCGTCAGGATTTTTTGTCTCTTGTTTTCTAGCTTCAGGATGAAGTTCCCTTCACATTGTGCAGAAGAATAAGTCTGGTAAGATATTCGGTACACTAATGGCACAGAAGAGCAGAGCACACAGCTGTAGGTCAACATTTTTCCCCTTTAATGGCTCACCTTTTGTTACTAAGGATGATGGCGGCACCAAGTGTATCATTTCTGAGTAGCAATGTACGTCTTTCCTGCTCTGTGTCTGCCTTTCCCTCTGCCTTGAACGTTCAGCCGAATCTGGGATTCACAAAGCCCCACTCCCTTCCGCTCCAGCTGGAAAATAGCGCCTGAGGAACTGTACTTGACTCTCTTGTTTCACGGCCCTTAGCGGCCGTCCCCGGGCCCGCCTGCCACGGGGAGGGGCCTGCAGGTCGGCCGTTAACGGTCACCTGTCCCGTTTGAACGCGGCTCCCCGCCCCGCTGCCGTTTACTTTCGAACAGCGCGGGCGTCGGTTGCTCTCGCGCATGCGTAGCTCGGCGGCGCTGTGGAGAGCGGCCGGGCGCGGGCCCGCTGGGCGAGGCGGGGGTCTGAAGTCGTCGGTGGTTTCGCCGTGCAGAGCCTATCGGCTCCCCGTGAGGAGGGCGGAATAGAGGCTCTATGCTGGTGTCCTGGCGCGGGGGTGCGGAGCGGGGCGCAGCCGAGGAGGCGGCGAACGGAGCGGCCAGGTAGGCTGCAGGGTGGGAGCGGGGCAGCTGGGGCTTCGAATGTACACCCCGCCAGGTGTTTCGTGAGGTGTTTCCGCTCTCGCGGCCTCCTGAGGTGAAAATGCCTTGCGAGCGGAGCGGTGTCCGGAACGACCGCTTCCAGCCAGCCTTCTCTAGCCTGCTTGGCTGGGCAGTGCTGAGGGGCCCGCTCCGCGGGCGTGGGGACCCGTTGCCACCCCCTGGCCTGCCTCATCCCTGACAGTGTTGAAGGTCAGGTTGGATGGGGCTTGGAGCAACGTGGTTTAGTGGAAGATGTCCCTGCCTGTGGCAGAGGGATTGGAACTGGATGAGCTTTAAGGTCCCATCTAACCCAAACCATTTTATGAACGGTGTTACCTGCCTTCTTTCTCCACTGTCTAATGCAAAGAGGTATATGACAGATCAGTGCTTAAGACCAGAAGCTTTGACAGAGTTCAAGTGATAAGGGATGGAGAGCAAATCTTGGCAATAGAATACAGGCATGGAAAGGGTAGAGTACTATATTTGGGTTTTTTTTAATGTGGTAACTTGTTATAGTGGCAGCCAAGAAGCCAGTAGAGGGGTATATGGAAAGGAACTCAAGTCAGCTTGGTGGGGAGGCTAGACTTGCTGCTCATCATGTGAGCTATTTGTGGCGTGGAGTAAAGCAGTGCAGCTGAAACAATCTGCAATAGAAAAGTGTAAGGTCTAGCTGTTGTTTCTGATTTCTGGTGCCTGGCTTGTTACAACCCACAAACCTGCTCGCTGTGTGACAGGGTCTGTTCTTTTGGTGCACTGACAAATACTGGAGCTGCACCTCGGCTTTCTGTATATTTTGGTTGTTTTTTTGTTTTTTTTTTTTAAAGTTCTGTCACCCCTTACCATGAAGGTGACTTATAAATGGAAAACACTGTTCACAATGTCATTTAATCTCTTATTTTTGCACAATATTAACTTGAGCTCCTATGGCAGTGCTACTGGAGGGCTTTGTGACCGCAGTGGGTTGGGGAGACAGCATTTCTGACATGGATTTAGTTTAAGTACAGTATTGAAAGTCAGGTCAAATCTTACAGTGTCGTTCAGGGAAGAGCAGATGTTTTCTTTCCCGATAGTGGTGTGAAGGAGGAGTGAGGAGCCTGGCAGTCCCTTCTAACTCCTGGTATAGGCTGTCACAACTGTTATCAAGTGTCAAATTCACCTTTTAAAATCCTCCAGGCTTTTGCCATAAAGCAATTGGTTATTTACCTAAAGACTGACATATGCTGTATCATACTTAGAATTGTTTTCAAACACCATCTTGCATAGTTAGCTGGGGGAGCAGCATCCTGATGGCTAGGTGAGGAATGCAGCATTGTTAAGAAATATTCCATGTTACTTTTATCTGCTTAACTGAAAGCTTTAGCAGATAAGCTGTAACACAGGTATACTCTGTTAGGTGTTTCCACCTTGTCTACAGTATTCCTAATTAGAGGAGGATAAAATAACGGCCACTTCATCGGCCTTCTGTTGCTGGAAGTCTTCTGAATCTCACAGTGATACTGACACAATTACGCTTTTGAATTTTTAAAATACCTTCTAGTTTGTAATTTGCGTATGTGGAGTGACTCTCACTAGAAATATGCATACACACATGAACGCGCATATTTGCTACCACAACTGTCTGGAACATTTAAGGACAAGTAGCTGCTCTGTGCAGGAAAGCATTTACCAGCTTCCTGTTCTCTCTTTTTTCTTTCTTTTCATGGGAAACTTTTTCTTTCTCGTTGCTTAACTCTGTGATGTTGTGTCTCTTATTTTTTTGTTGCTGTTTCAGTCCCTCTCTGTTAGATGCCTACTGGTATATTCCCACTGTTGTTTACATGCTGACTGTTTCCTACATGCTGCTACCAGTGTGGGATGAAACTAAATTTTGTGATTTCTACCTTTTGCTTCCCTGGTGTATATCTGGAGCAGTTTTCTAGAACTTAAAAAAAACCAACAGCTTCAGAGCGGGCAGCATGTCCTTCCTGCAGAGGCTGAGGTGATTCGTAACAGAGCTAAGAAAAAATGTGTGAAGTTGCTTTTTTTTTGTTTTTTGTTTTTTTTTTTTTTTGATACCAAGCAACTACTTTGTGGTTAAAATAATTTTTTTAAGATTAATTTTATCTTGCCCTTTACGTAGCTCAAATAAGCTGGATGTGTGTTCTTTAGAAAGAAAATTTCCCTCCTGTAACAGTTTCTTTGAAGAGCACTACAGCTCTAGATTTAGGAAGAATTAGTGATTTTAAGCCTAGAAGTTTTTTGGTTTGGTTTGGGTTTTTTTTAACTATATTAATTCTATACATAAAAAAAAGTAATAAATTGAGAGCACCTACTGAGCTTCTTTTTAACCATGAACAAAAACTTAACCTTTTTTTTTTGTGACATTCCCTAAAATTCATACCTTTATATATGTGTGTGCATGTGTACAAATACATGTGCATATATATATATATATAAATAAAACCTTTAAATATATTTCCTCTGTGGATTCTCAAAAAATAATTTATCTTGGTTACTGAAGTAGCTTGGTTGTTCAGCTTCTCTTCATTATTGACACATTTCTTCAGTTTCAGTGTCTGGAGCATCACTTAAAAATGTGAAGTTATTAATGTATAGACCTAAAGAACCTAGTGTTGCCACAGTGGCTGAATGGACAGGCTGGAAAGTGAAGGCCTGTCCCCCCCAGTAAGAAGAGAAATATCACATGGTCTATAGTAAGAGCAGTGTGGTACAGAGGTAGATGTAGTGTCCAAGTGTTGTGATTGTCTTTTGTTAAACATCTGTTATACTTGATATTAATCCTCTTTAACCAGAATACACAAGTTATAAATGTTAACACACTTGATCATTCCTCTTTTAAAGGGCAGTTCTTGAGAATTATGTGTCTCTCTAGCAGATTTTCTTCCAGCTGTTGTCAAGATCTCTTTAAAAAGTGGAGTTCAAATGAGTGATCCAACATTTAGTTCTGGTTAGCTGAAAAAAATTACCTGAAGTGTCATGGATAGATTATTTGTATTTTTATTTTTTTTTAAAGCTGAATTAATCAAAATGTGTTTTCGATATGAAGTTGACTAAACAACATACAGATACCTCCTGTGATTGAACTGGATGTTTTGGGTGATGATGGACATTAGATGATGATGTTATTGTTGTTGATATTATTGTTGTTCTTGTTGTTCAGTCTGGTTTTACAAGGCAAAACAGTCTGATCGGACCTGTAAAGTTGAACACTTTCACTTTTTGGTGTGCCAGTCTATCTCGATCAAGTGAGATAAACCACACTTACTTTGGTACAAGCACAGTAGGTTTCTCTGTTCAGAGTTGATTTAACTCTCCAGAAACCAGAGTCTGACTATTTGGCTTCCAACTTCCAGCAGGTTAGCTCTGTACCTTTGGTAAGCACAATGCTGCTTAATTGTTTTACTGAAAATTGTTTATTAATTGTTTATTAGTTATTAGCAAATTTATTAGTTTATTAGTTATTAGCAAATATTATTAGTTTATTAGTTATTAGCAAATTTAATCCTTGTTTTCATAATTCTAAATGCAGTTTAAGCTTTTACTTTCAAAGAAGAGTATAATTAAGAATTCAGTTGCTTTTAAGTAGATTCACTTCAAATCAAACTTTGTTAGTCTCAGTATCAATGAGAAACTGATAGATCAATGCAAAAACATGCTACTGCATTAAAAAGATTAAGAGGCACATCAGAATACAACAGCCTCCTGCAATACACCTGACTGAATCAGAGTTTTGTCAGCATTTCTTGCAGCTGTGGTGTCCAAGCTGCATATTACTGCTTTCAGATTTAGAGGTAGGCCCTAAATCAAGTCTTTGATACTAAATGCTTGGACAATTTCTTTGTTGACTAGAACCAGCAAAGGGGACAGGAAACTGTGACACAAAGGAAGTACGTACTAATTTCCCTATTTTTCTAACAATGTAAAACAAAATTATGATTTATTATGAAAACTGGAATTGGAGTTATTATTTGTGACTTTACAGTGTTACTTCACAAAGCTGGCAAAATAAAACAGGGCAACATTGCAAAGGGGGGAAAACTAGTGAGTTTCTTAGTTTGTGATTAAAGTAACCCAGGAATAACAGCATAAGTCTAATTACTGTTAGGGGGTTTAAGGACCACTAAGTCAGACTCTGGTTTATGCCAGAGTGGAGGTGCTAGAGATGGGTTCTGGTAAATCGAACTGCCTATATTACAGAAGTGTAGCATTTGAGAAAAGTTAGGGGAGAAAACAACTTTCTGTACTTATCATTGTGTTCTGACACTGAAAATGTTACTCATAATGGGAGAAAACTTTCAGAATTCTTATGTTATTTAGACACTTTAGTTCTAACTTTTATCACTCTCTTCTACTGTTTCTCAGTGTTAAAAATACCTAGTAGCAGATTGCTGCTTTTCCTGACTTTTCAAGGGAGAAGTTGGATAAGGAGGAACACTGTCTAGTCACATTGCAAGTGCTGATGACAGTTTGCTGAAATCTCTGAACAATTGCTCATTTTTGTTCTTTTTATTGTCTATTACACTCCACCCCCTCTCCACCCTCCCCCCCCCCCAATAAAATGCTAATATAGGTCAGGTTATTTGTCATCAAATGTCATGTTGATGTGCTTAGGTTAATAAAATGATTAAAATGAATTGATTGTAATGAGATTAAACTGTTCTTTTTTGTTTTTTCTTTTGTAGGACATGCATCACTTTGAGGAAGAACTAACGTGTTCTATTTGCTACAGCATATTTGAAGATCCACGTGTTCTGCCCTGTTCCCACACGTTCTGTAGAAATTGTCTGGAAAATGTCATTCAGCTGTCGAGCAACTTTTCCATCTGGAGACCTCTGAGAATTTCTCTGAAGTGCCCGAACTGCAGGAGCATCGTGGAAATTCCTGCTGATGGTACAGAGTCGTTGCCTATCAACTTTGCACTGAAGGCTATTATTGAAAAATGCCAACAGGAGGATCACTCTGATGTTGCAACCTGCAGTGAACACTACAGGCAACCGCTGAACGTTTACTGCCTTTTGGATAGAAAATTGGTGTGTGGCCATTGCCTTACGATAGGAAAACACAATGGCCATCCCATTGATGACCTTCAGAGTGCCTACACAAAAGAAAAGGAGACTTTTGTAAAACTTCTTGAGCAGCTGACTGATAAACACTGGACTGATGTCTGCCTGCTTATTGAAAAGCTGAAAGAACAGAAGTCGCAGTGCGAAAGCGTTGTCCAGGATGACAGAAAAGCAGTAGTACAGTATTTTAAGAAACTTGGCGAGATATTGGAGCACAAAAAACAGGCTCTGCTGACAGCACTGGATGAAATGAACGCACACATTTTAGAAGAGTATGAGCCTCTCATTGAGAAGCTGAAGAAAATAAGGGAAGAACAGCTTGAATTAATGTCCCTGCATACCTCTATTAAAAAAGAAGAGTCCCCACTTATTTTTCTTGAGAAGGTGAATGGTCTGCATCAGCGTATAAAAGCTCTGAAACAGAAGGAACTCCCAGATGTTAAACCTGTGGAGATTCATCCCAGGATTGGGCACCTGTTGAAAGATGTGTGGTCCCAAACCAAAATTGGTCAGATCAACAAGATCCTCAATCCAGAAATAAAACTGATTCCAAAAGAGAAGTTATGCAGCAAAGGCAGTGGAAAGGAAGGAAGAGACTCAGAACTCCTCCAGCCAGTAAATCCTTTTGCAGTCCTGTTGCTCTTGATGATGATGACAGCGGTAACTCTGTTTTCATTTCACAGGCCAGTGTTGTCAGTTGTAATTGAAGATATTCGCACTTATATTTCAGAATTCCTGCTGCTTATTTATCGAGATTTTGTCACTCGTTTGCAGAATACAGCGGATGTGCTGGACCATATGTTTAATTTACTGATAGGAAATTTTAGGGAGAACTGTTTCTTTTGACTATCTCAATGATAACTTAGAAGTCAGTTTGTTAAAGCTTTACACTTTTTATTTCCACATCCTTCCTTTTTTCTGTATTGTATAGATTTCCTCTTCGCTAACTCTTACCTGTGAAGGTTTGTAACAGGCAAGGCTTCCGCTGACATGGTACAGTAGGTTGGTAGGTGTTTGCTTGCACTGGAAGGTACTCAGAAACAGTGGCTGTGAAGAGCTGGTTGGCTTACAGACCATAATCTTGAGTCTTGTTTGTAAGAGCTCCTTGAAAATCTACTAGCTTGCTTTTTTTTTTTTTTTTAAATAAAAGCACTGCAAGGCTAGATGTTAGAAGGAGACCTTAGCCACTGGCTCTGGTAGGTGTAAAACTCCTGTTCTGTGTTTTACTGAGCAGTCTCCGGATATGTTTTAAGTAAGTGACACACCCATGGTCATTAAAGCATGTATTCATGGGCCAGGGCTTCATTTGCTTTGTGGCTGGTTATTGGTGAAGAACATGATTTCATCTTTGTTTTGTTTGGGGTTGTTTTTAACCTGGAAAAAATAACTTAGTGTCTTTCAGATGGTTTGTGCCTCTTTACAGAGCAGTATCAATAGAAGTTATGCTGAAATACTGCAGTTCTTTACTGCCAGCTGCGCACAAATCATGTGTTTGCTCAGGCTGGTAGGAACCTCTCACCACTCTCGAAAATGAGCCCCAGCTTTGTGCTAAATCATTTCAGATGTGGTGAAAATAGAGACTTACTGTAGTAAGTAGCAAGAGTCTCAGAGAACTCAGTGGTGTAAGGACTTCAGACATTGTCCAGAGCTCTTAAACAACTTGACAGTGAGTGTAAATTTATTTTCTACTTTTCAGCACAAATAACAGATCTTTACCTTCACACAGATGAAACATGCATCTTTTCTTCCACAGCGAAACACTCACTAATCCTGTTTGCTGTTTTTGCTGAGGTTCTCCAACCTAACTTGTGTTCTGGAGCAAAGGCGCAAGGGAAAAATAACTTTGGCCTTTGGTTATTAACAGGCTGATTACAGCAAGTACTGGGGCAGCTTCGAAGTGCTGCAGTGACAGCAGCAGAACATGGATCACTGATTTTATAAAACCCCAAAAATGATTATTCACCATGTCTATTGTATTTGATTTTACAAAATTAATAGTAGATTCTAGCGTGGTAGGGCTCCTTGGCTGTTGTTTAGTTTTAAATAATAGAAGTTATTTAAGTAGTGGTTGAATTCTAAGGCTAGCTGCTAACTGGTTGGTGTATCAAACCAAAACTTATTGCAACTAGCAGATGATGCTGGGCTCCTGCAAACTACCCACTGCTGCCAGGCTTCCTGGAGGGCTGAGTGCACAGTTGATTCAGATGCTTTCCTAAACCTAAATAAATATCCTAATAAGGATATTGAGATCATAACATCATGGTATTGATAAAACACTTGAGTCAGTGATGCAGTGGTGGCACAGGTCCCTTCCCAGCAGCTTGGCAGGTTTGTTTTTGATCAAAGCAGTGCTCAGGGAAGTGGCCTCTGGTTGCCGTCCTTTCGAATCTGAGAGACAAATCCCATTAATGCCAGCAGTCAGGATTTGGAAGGGTGTGTAACTGTATCATGGGCCCACATGAATGTTGCCAAATCAACTTCCCAGTAAACTTGAGAGTTTGTTTCTGCTTTAAGCCCTGCTGAAAAGCTGTCACTGGGTACATGTGGCTGGCAAAGCCTGATGCTGAGTGTTGGTCCTGTGCCCTGTGAAGCATCACTTTTTACTTGCCTTCCTGTCTGTTATTTTCCTGACTTTTAAAAACTTAACAGTTTATAATGCAATTTTATTTTTCAAGACTACAGGAATTTATAAAATGCCTTTACCACTGATTTAAACATTTAGTATGTGTAGTACTTTTAATAAATTTGCATACAAATAAAATGTATTCTTACAGTAGGCTTGGCTAACACCTCCATTTCCTTCCCTCTGAGCCTGAAGAGCACTGACCCAGTGAGAGAAGACAGAGCAGCAACTCCTGCTTACACAGGAATGTTCAGCAACAGTCTCCAAGTGACCCTTTTTTATTTTTGGCAATGAGTCCCCACTCTGTGCGTCCCACTGTGGACTGCGCAGTCACTCACTGTGTGCCCAGAACAGGCCCATTTCACCTGGTTTTCTGCAAGTCCCGGTGCAGTGACTCATTTTCCTGTAAGCCTAGCCTGCTAAGCATTGCACAGCCAAGCTCTGGTCTGTTCTGTCCTCTGTGCTGAGTTTCAGAGAGAGACAACCTTTATCGAGAAAATCAAATCTTTCTACTGTGTTTTGAGGCACGAGGGGTTTGTGCCCTTCAAACCTGGGATGTGGTTTATTTCTACTTGTACTGTGTTGTTACTGTGCTGCTGCTCTTTGAAAGAGCTGCTTCTTGATCCATTCCTTTTTGTTCTTTGCTGGTCTTGCCCATCCTGAAGCTGCAGTGTAACACTTACTAGCTTCATGCTGAGACAGGAAAGCCACAACTGCACAGCTGGAGGGGGACTCCAGAAGCAATGTGGCCTGCATGCCCATTTTTCTCGTCCAGTATCATGTGTGTGACTATTGCTGCAGTTTGTGAACACTGCCCAACTGCAACAGCCTGGTCACCTCCTGCTAAGGTGATAATCTGTTCCAGGTCTGCTCTCTGTTGGCTATGCCTCTGGGGCTAGGCTGAGGTTGTTCCATCCCTGGGTTTGGGTCAGTTCTGCGTAATTCCCCACCTCAGGAAGCACACCAACATGGGACAGATAGTTCAGGGAGAAGTCCAGCACAAGTATGCCACACTGGCCTGGGGTTTGGAGTAAACCACACAATGTCAAGTTCTAAAAGTATGAAAAAAAAACCAGCCCCACCAACCCACAAACCCAAAGCTCAGAACAACACCCCCAACCCCCAAAAAACCCAAACAAACATGAAACAACACAAAAAACCACAATGCCCCCCATACTTCATCCCAAGCACATGCCATGTTCTGCAGTAGGGGAAAGGAAAGTAAAAGAAGAGCAGCTTCCTAAACTGAACCAAGTCACTACAAGATGGCTACAACTGGCTGTTCCCCAAACCATGCAGCAGGACATACGACATTATACACATGTCCTGACTTACTGGAACTCATACCATAAAATATTACAGGACACCGATGACATTTAGAAGCAATTTCCTTACTTTATTAATAAACACATGGGAAAAAAGGCATTTAAAACCAAATGTGGAACCCAAGCATTGACATAAAACATATACCTGGAGTATTAAGATGCATCTGAATACATAATTTAGGAAATAATTTTATGAACTGACTAAACCAGAAAACCTAAGATTATAATATATAGACTTCATAATCAAAAAAATACCAAATTTATTGAGGCTGGTTGATTAAGAAGCTCAAACATAGAATAAAATTAATTTCAAATGAAAAAGTATATTACATGAAACAGCAGCAATGAGAATGCAAGTGCACTCTACGTTTGAGCTGTATTGGACCCAACAGCCTTCAGTGCATCCAGTCCTTTAGCTGCAATAACTTTTGGGTTAGTTGCCACGCTTTTCGTCGTATTATGAGTCTTATAAATTCCGATTAACCTGTCTGCGATCTCAAACATGTTGTTCCGCAGGGAGATGACGATGAACTGTGCATTTTTCGTTTGTTCCTGAAACAGAATTTGTTTGTGTCAGCCCATAGTTTTTCAAAACTCCGTTCCCATATCATCCCTATGTTTAAGTCTTAGAAACTAAGGAATACATAGCTACAAGTGCGTCACTCAACAAATTGTGATGGTGACAAGTTCCTGCTCTGTTTTCTGCCCGTGCACAGCATGCTCCCAGCGTGGCAGTCAGTGTGAGCCTGTGATGTACTTCAGAATGTGTTTCCTCCTTTTACATCACCTATTTGAGTGAATTCAATGCAACATGCATAATTTCTTTCCAGAGATGATATTCAGCACGGCCTTAACATGAGTTCCGCAAGAAGGCAGGTATTGCCAAGTTACCAGAACTGTTACAGCAAGGGTTGCTTTAGGGATGAAAAAGGAACCAAACCTATTTCCATGAACTGAGACCAGGGGAAAGCAAGCCCTTTGCTAATGAGGACAAGCCTTGAAAAATGCTAGTGTTGTGATCCTGAGATGGAACAACAATAGATATCTAAATCTGAGGTACTTTAGAAATAAAGGCAACGTTAAGAATCTAGCACCAACACTGAAAGTTCGCCAGTCCTCCAAGCCTTGTGGAAATCTTGAGAGCATTGGGCAGGAGAACCAAAGCCAAGGTACGATGATGCCCTCGGCTCTGGCTGTATACAAGATACCAGCTACAGCTCTGTACTAAGCCATGATTTTCATTTAAGAGCTAAACTATACTAAGTATTAAATTGAAGTGCTAGTCTACACTGCAGTTGAAATCACTTTGCTCTACCAAATCACCCTCCTTTGTGAAGATGCATGCATTGTGGAAGGAAAGTTTAAAACTACAGCTGCAGGCAGGTTTTTTCAAAGTGTTTCACTAATTTCAAGTAGGGATCATAATCTTTGTCACTTTTAGGGCATTCCGAAAACTGGTGGTTATACTTCAGAGAATTCTGTAAATTCTAAGTTTAAATTAGCAACTGGAACTGCAAGTAATGTAAATGTTTTCCTCACTTAATATGGTAATGACAAAATTTTTAAAAGCATGAAAGAAAAAACCCAAGACACTAACAAAGGCTCAGATCCAAGAAGCCTGTGGGAAACAGCTCATAATAATGAAATGGAAGTATAGAACCCAGGAACCTTGGCTGCTCCCAAGAATGAAATAATGAGATTGGATGCACAAACATGTTACTAAGAGCTAAACAAGTTACTCTGTTCTCAGCTGATTACATCTGGTGGCTTTGTGGAAAGCATGTTCATTTTAAAGAGGAAGCAATAGCAGCAAAAATGTATGGGAATGTGGCACCTTTGGTAAATTCCAGCATTCTTTAGGCAGCTTTGAAAGAGGATTTAGAAGGAAAAAATATGTACATCCTCTAACAAGTCGCCTTATTTCAGGAAAGCATCAGACTGAGCAGCTTAGAAAAAAATCATGCAGAAAGCAGCATTCTAAGAACCATTCTGGAAATCTGCTTAGCACATCATTTCTGCTTAATGCTCTGTTATTCTGGATTTTTAAATCTGGCTTTAACTGTGTTACCATTTCATTTTCCCTGGCAGAGAAGAAAATATCTGAGAAAAAATATAATACAGCAGTTACCATTAAATACTTACATATATGTAAAACGCTACAATGGATACATTTTTGAAGTCAAGTGCTGCATCAATTTCATCCATAAAATAAAGTGGTGTTGGCTTGTAATGATGGAGAGCAAAAACTAGAGCCAGTGAACTAAGGGTCTTCTCTCCTCCTGATAGGTTAAATATCTTCTTCCAACTTTTCTTGGGAGGTCGAACACTGAAACAAATCAAGAATTTGTAAGTTACAAGTATGTTGTGGTGAAAAGCAAGTCATGAGATGGGATGGAATTCTTGGAAGACACAGATGCATAAAGAAGCTTGACTAAAACCATGGATGAGCTGCTTGGTACTCAGTCCTCTGCAGCAGAGAGGAAGTAAAGCGGATTATTTCTCTTCCCTGAGTAACTCCCTGGGTACATGCAGAGTGACGTGGTCAGCCAGTGTTTTCTGGAACTCACATGGCTGTATTCTGCAGGAGCTATAAGAACTGAAGGAACTGCTATTTATCTTTCGAAAGTGCTATTCTGCTCTTATTAATGTATGTGATTAATGTAATCCTAGGAGCATTTATGACAGAATAATCTGTAGCTACCACTACGATTGACACAAGTCCCTAGGCAGAATGAAACAAGTTGGGAATTAAGAAGCTCTGAGAAATTACTTTAAATTACTTTGTAACTGCTGTTAGTTACTCATTTCTCCAGGAGAAATGGATCTCAGTGCTAAAAAGCTATGGCTTTAATCAGCACCTTGCCAGCACCTCTCTTGGTTAGCTGGTATCAGTGAAAAATTAAAAAGCAGACTGATAAAAAAAGGAATACAACAATTAAGAACTAGAGCAATACTACAACATATTTTGACAAACCTAAACATGATTCCTTCAGAGAAGGGATCCAGACTGTCCACAAGTTCTAACTCTGCATCCCCTCCCAGTGTAAGCATCTGGTAGTTCTCCTTTAGTTTATTTGTTATTACATTAAATCCTGCCATGAACTCATTTAGTCTTTGTTTCCGGAGATCTTCAAAAGCTTGTCTGAATTTGTCTCTCTCATTGGTAATGTCATCCAGTTCAGCCACATGTTTCAAGTACAGCTCTTCCTGTAGAAAAAACCACAGAAAAAAAAAAAAAAGTACAGTAAAAGAAACTGTCTCCTTAATTTCAATTCTAAACCAGTTTTTCCCACCATTGAAAATTCATTTTTCCCAGAATGGTTATCAGCTTTGAAAACATAAGAACAAACCAAACTATCTTTTTTTTCTCTTTTTT